CCCTGCCTTCCTTTCACCCCTTCACCCTTCCCTATTCACAAAGACTTTGTTTCCATTTTATTCACATTTTTCTTTTCCCTTATTTCCTTTCCCCTCCCCTTCCCACTTCCCCTTTAGACCTTTTCTTCCTATTTCACACTCCCAATTATACCATTTCAACCTTATTTACATTTTCAGTTTTTCATGCCAGAGAAGCTATTCGGTATTTACCAAAGTGTGTCCTATTGATTTCACTTAAGACTATGGCCTCAGTGGGTGTCCATTTAGTTAGTCCATTGTTTTGATTTAAAGCCCATTTAATTAATTAATTAATTAATTATTGAGACAGGGTCTCACTGTGTAGTTGAGACTGACCTGGAACTCACTATGTAGCCCAGGCTGATCTCGAACTCACAGCGATCCTCCTGCCTCAGCCTCCCAAGTGCTGGAATTACAGACATGCACCACCAAACCTGGCTAAACCCATTTTTAAATTGGATTTTTTTGGTTGTTGTTTAACCTTTTGAGTTCCTTACATATTCTGAATATCAATCCCTTGTTGATGAATAGTTTGCAAACATTTTCTTCCATTCTACAGGTTGCCCTTTAATTCCATTTATTACTTCCTTTGCGGTGGAGAATCATCTTAGTTTGATATAATCCCATTTATTTTTGCTTTTGTTGCCAATGTCTCGAGAATCCCACCTACAAAGTCATTGCTGCCCTAATGTCTCGAGGGATATTCCCCAATGTTTTCTTGCAGTGACTTCATAGTTTTATGTGAACACTTTGGTCTTGGAATCCTTTTGAGTTGATTTCTGTGTACAGTGAGAGAATTGAACCTAGTTTCTTCTGCCAATGCATATCTCAATTTACTGGTACCCTTTACTGAAGAGATTGTCTTTTCTCCACTATTTGTTCTTGGAGTCTTTGTAAAACAAATCATTTGGCTGTACGACTGTGGATTAATTTCCAGTTCCTCTGTTCTGTTCTATTGGTCCATCTGGCTGTGTTTATGCCAGTGGTGTTTTGAGTATTATAGACTTCTTTTAATTACTAGAGCTGTTTTAATTACTATAGATTTGTAGAACATTTTGTAGTCAGGTATTGCGACACCAACAACTTTTTTTTTTTTTTTTTTGGTGCTTAGGATAACAACTAGCTACACCATTTTTCTTTTGCACTTTCATATGAATTTTAGAATTGCTTTTTCTGTTTTTGTGAAGAAAGTCATTGATATCTCGATCGGAATTGCATCGAGTTTATAGATGACTTTGGATAGTATGGTCATGACAATACTGATTCTTACAATACATAAATATGGAATAGCTTTCATTTTTTGTGTCCTGTATAGTACCTTTCAATATTTTTTTGAAGTTTTAACTCCTCGTTTTATTAAAAATACACAGCTTTTGCATATAACAACATACTGTAGAGATAAACCCATCAATATGTGAATATATGAATATAGCCCAGTCCTGTTGAGGAGAAGGTTACACGGGACACGGATGGAAATAGGAACTGCAGCTGTGGTTCCGCACACGGAGCCACACTCAGAAGTTCAAGGCTGCAAACAGTCCTGAGGACCCTCCGATAACACTCTGGGAACAGTCTGTTTTGAGAAAGTATATGAATAACTAGAACCAGGTGTTCATAAAAATATTTTCTAATGCTTTGCTAAAGATAATCTGTAAGGAACTAACTGTTTATTCTCATGGAAGAATTGTGCATGTACCTGATAAAAACAGAGGTTGGTGAGAGCTGGCTGCTGTTTGCCTGTGAGAGCGTCAGCCCTCTACTCCTCAGCAAAACTGCATTCCTGCTGCCTGTCTGTCCTTCGCGTCCCCGAGGACAACACATTCCTTTGCATGGTTGCATAATATTGCATTTTGCATTGTTCCATATGTATTTTCCCACTCCCAGGATAATGCATTTGCAGTGGTAAGAATTCCTATTTACTAGTATTTTTAGTACCACTGCTGTTCTGTGGATAACTTCAAGTTCCTCAATTTTCTAGAAGAGGATTAATCCAAGACATCTCTGTAATCTTTCAAAGTTAGCTCTTTCTACGAACTCATCATCATAGACTCCAGTGCGGTAAACGTAACGTTTTAGGAGTTGCACGGAGGGAGAATCCCCGGCAGCACAGCTCTGCCAGGGTCTGCGGGCTGGGATCCTCCCACTGCTTGCTCCAGATTTCCCCTCTGCCTCTCTGTTCCCTGCTGTGTTCCTTCCAATTTGGCCAATGAGGAGCCCCGCTAAAAACCTTAGAGCCACATCATCATTTTAAAATTCTCATTCTAGAGATCTCTTCACTTCTGTGGTCAAATTTATCCCCAGATATTTCATTTCTTTTGAAGCTATTGTGAATAGGACTGCTTTATCAGTATCTTTTCAGCAAGTTCATAATCGGTGTACTAAAATGCTAATTTTTTCCCATTGATTTTGTATCGTGCAGCTTTACTGAACTCATATATAAGTTCTAGCAATTGTCTGACAGAGTATTCAGACTTTTCAGCCTAAGCATGTCATCTGTCAACATGGATACTGCGACTTTGTTTCCTATCTGATTATCCTTTATTTCTTTCTCTTGCCAAAGCTCTCAGTAGTGCATTAAGGGAGAATGGTGGAAGCGAACAGCTGCTGTGCTCTCACAAACTGGGGCAGCCTGGGCTACTGAGGCCATGCAGCCCGGCCGACATCAATCAGCAATGAAGAAACCACAGACACTGTGCTTTGAGTGCTTCATACGTAAACCCAGTGCACCTACCACTCAGGTGTCCTCCATCCCTCTAAATGGAAAATACTCTACTGCTAAAGCTACTTCATATGACTAGGAAAGCAAATATTACAACAATGTGCAGACATCACAGTAAAGACAAAAGAAAGTACACATAATCTGTGGTTGTTTTCTGAGTGCCTGCGCTAGTAGAAATCTCTAGACGCTAGGATTACAAAGACAGAAGGTCAGATTTTGTTCTCCTAAATTTTCAGTTTAGTTTTATGAATTGTAGAATTGTAAGAAGTGACTAAACATAACCTCAAAGTGATTGTTTTCATCATCATTGTTATCATTTAACAATAGAAAATTTCCTTTTAAAAAGGTCAACCAGGGTGGGTCTAAAAGGCTACCTCTCAGTTCATTTGCTTTGAGTTCGAAAGTGTTGGAAGGGGTTCACACAATTCCAACCAACTTGAAGTGTGATTTATCCTCTCAAAGGCTTGAAACCAAGTTCAATCTTTTTCTCATGATGGATGTTCTCTTAGGTAACTTCATTTCCAAAGTAGCCATTCTTGTCTACATCAAAGCTCAGCAGAGTTAATTCCATCCCTCCCTCCATCCCACACTCCAGGCAGCCACTGAGGGTCCCGGTGTCCGCCTGCCCCTGTCACTTGTGGGATGCCACACGTAATCTAACAGGCCTACCTAAGCCACTGCATGTGAAAGAGCTGCACTAGAATTTTCACCAACAGTGTTTCTCACTTTGCTCAGTCTTTAACCAACTTTGAACCTGCTCCCAGGTGAGGATTAGGCTATCAGGCTTCCAACATGGGCACTGACTCTCTACCTGCATTTTTAGGCCATCATCTTTTCTGCTCACACATGGTCTGTCATCTTGCTGAGGCGTTGTATTTATCTGTAGTGTGCTTCATTTTTTCCCTCCAGTATCTTTCCTTCTTATATTACAATTCACCCATTTGAAACATTCATAATTTTCTCACCACTCTGCTTTAAAAATCATCTCCCCCACCATTATTCATATATACAACCAGCATCTGTTGCCACGTGCTGCCATGGTAACTAAGGAAATACAGGGTAATGTCAGGAAGCATTAAGCATGTGCTTGAAGGTCCTGTTCAAGAATTTAAGGTGATTTTGTTGGTGTGGTTGATACTTTTACCCCTAAGCACCTTCAACTGAGTTGCAGATGTGGAACTATGGAAATCTGGATTTAATCAGGCATATTGTTTTGCCTCCAGGTAAAATGAAGAGCGAGATGGGCAAGGAAACAAATATGTGCATGTTATTGACTTTGGGATTTTTACATTGAGTAGGGAGCAAGCGAGGGTATTGGAGCATGAAGGCAGAGGGAAAGGGAGGAATGATGAATCGATCGGAGGTGCCTTGGAGAGACAGGATTGTTGGAACAGGGGAGAGAGTAAGCGGGAAGGATGAAAGGTGGTGATCATGGAGTGGGCCGGGGTGATGGCTGGATTGCCCGTAACACTCCTGACAAGGTCTATGGTGTGATTTGGGGAGCGAGCAGCGTGAAGTACGGTGACAGCGAGGTCACCGGGAGAGAGACACTGTGACATGGGCAGCCAGGCTGTGACGCTTCATGAAGTCACCAAGAGTGCATGGGTAGGTGGTATGGAGAGAGTGGGGGTGAACTAGGAGCAACGTTACCAACACATGGGGTGGGGCAGTGCCCCGAGGGTCAGAGACACCCCGGTTCTGTTAGACAAGCTACTAATACTTCTAAAAACCTCCGCGTTGAGATAAAAAGCAACACACTTTGGCCCAAAGTCAACAAAACTCAATTACTATGAAGTAAATCAAGCCCCTCGGTATCTTTATCTTACAGACAGCACATTAAAAAATGATTTGGATTAACTACCAGAGGGGAAACCTAGGCGATATCTCATGTAAGTCCGGAAGTCTCGTCAACAGTAGGCAGAACCAGACACTCAGGAACGGCACACCGGCGGCGTGGAGCCCGTCTGGTTACTGGGCACACACTCCGCCACTCCCCACCAGCTCTCCTGCCCGCATCGTCTCTTTCCCTGGGTTTCTCATCTGTCTGACTGCTGGGCATGTTTCCCACCGTGGCGTTAAGACTGCATTTAACCAAAATGACTGTAAAGACTGAGGGAATCAGCTGATGTACTCTTCCCGTGGAATCCCAGCTTTGTTCACATTTTCCCACGTCCCTAAACTAAATATTTGGAAATAGAGAAATTTCACAGTTTCTTAGTTGAAAATTGAAACAGACAAATTTGTTTTCTCTTTGCAGTGAAGTTGGAAAAGAAAAATGTGTACGTACCCTTCTTTTCAATTGGACTTGGGGTCTCCTGAACTTTTACAAGTCTTACTGCCTCACCAATTCACAAGTATGTATGTTGAATAAACAATCCTGAATCATAAGTTAGCTTGTTATATTCTAAACATATTCTTTATTTTACAGAAGTAGAATGATATCTCACAAAAGACCTCGAAGATTACACATTCGTCTCCATTTACAAGCAAAGGGAGGTTCAGGGAGCTAATGAAACCAAGATAATAGAGCCACACTGCACAGCAGAACTTGAATTCAAATTCTTACCATCCCCTACATTGTACTTAGCACAACTGTTTTGGTTTAGGGTCTTTGAAAATACTTTTACTGTGAAATATTTCAAACACAGAAGTTTACAGCGTTTAATGCAGTAACATATGTATTCCTACTACCCTGCTGCACAGAATCTTAATATTCATTTAGATTTGGGAATGAAACTTTGTAGACAGAGTTGAGAGGCCCTTTCTCCCATGTTCTCATTCCAAATTCTCATTTCTTTTTTTCTTCAGGGCTAATCATCATGATAAATCTGAAATTTTTTAGGAGCTCCTTTAAGAACTGCTTTAAAGGAAATAAATTCGAAAGATAATTTCATCTATGTAGATTTACAAGTTCTTATTAACTTGCGTGAACTTTTCATGCTAAAAGAATGAAAGGAATACGGTCTATTTACATACCCCCAAACAAAACTGAGTGCCCCTGGTAGGCCTTTCTGCATGCGAGGCCCCACGTGGAAACTAAGCGTCACTGGATGGAGATATACCTAAAAGTCCCTTGGTTTCAGTAATGAGAATCACGTGCTGTCCCTGTAAGGGTGAGGATGGAGAACTATGCTTCGAAGTCGGGCCAATTCCAAGAGCAGGTAACAAAGCCTCAGCTCAAAGGATCCCATGGATAATGCTCTGCTATTACTGCCTTAAAATCTGGGAAGTTCTGAACAAGGACCCTGATGTCTTTATTCTGCTCTGGCCTTGCCAGTTGTGCAGCTGGTGCGGTTCCCTAGGCAAGGTGTGTCTGGGGCACCCAGGGACTCTCGAGGGACACTGATGGTTAAATCCACTTTGTCCTCAGGAGGGCGCTGCTCCACTTTTCATACTTGATGTCTTCATTGCAGTACACACAGCTATATATAAATCCAGGCACGCTGGAGGAGGACTTCAAAGGCCAGCTGCTTCACAAGGCAGATGGACCTGGGAATACATATGGAGAAGAAGGACAGGGATTCGCCGAGCTCTCACGTGCTGTATTTCTCTTGCCAGCAGAGCCCATTCTGGTATTGGTGGCATTATCCACTTTTACAGACAAAGAAACATTGGAATTTGAGCCCAGTACTGTTGGACTTTGGAGACCAGAATAGGAGTTTCTGCTTTAATTTGAAGATAACATTTCTAGAAACAACCATGCAAAAACAGTTGTGTAAACAGGATTTCTAAAAGGATATGTTTCCAATCACGCCCTTCCAATAACACAGGAAAGAGTTCCCACGGTGCACCACGTACTTCCTGACTTCAGCCTACTAACAAATGCAAGGTCCTGCGCGACTGTTCAACTCCAATAAACATGCCCTGCAGATTTTACTGAGGAGTCTAGGTTTCAAATATGCTATTCCATTTTCACCTCGAATTAACGCGCTTTGATTTGGGGTCCTGCAAACCTCGTCACTAAAACTGAGACGTGTTTAACCTGTACATTTCAACTGAAACGACCAAATTACAATGACATTTTGGGAGTGCTCTAAGCCTTATGCCTCTGAGCCATTCATAAACGCTACCCAAGAGGAAGGTGGAAGATTAACTATTTACTGTTATTCTGAAATCCACCCACACAGAAGATACATTCATCATTTTTAAGGTTTCACATTATTGTAGCATTAGCTAGTCCTATAAAATGCGTAGTTCTGAGCATTACACGGACTATGGTATTTTCCCAAGGGATTGAAAAAAAAATCCACATCAGATTAAAGAAATTCCTTTTCTTTCCTAGTTTACAAGGATTCGCTATCAAGAATTGTTGATTTTTATTGGTTGTACCTCCCACATTTTCTGGAAAGTTTCCTGTGTTTTTGCCCCCTCTTTTCATAACGTACTAGGTCCAGCTAAATTAACTGGCTTTCTAAGACCTAAAACCTCATACAGCTGGGATAAATTCAGCACAGATGTTACATATTCATCTTGTTCTATATTACTGGATTTGGATTGTTGAATGTTGTTGTATCTTTGTTGCCTATTCAGTGAGTTTTTAATTGTATTTTTCTGTTTTTTTGCGGGGGCTGATTCTCCTGCATTCATTCTACCTTTTTAAGCTTAAAACTTGGTTCATATATTTTACCCTTCTCTTTTTTATTTTCTGATATTATAATTTTCAACATGCTGCCTTCAAGTACTGCTCTAGTTGAGACCCACCTGTTTTGATGTGATGGAGTTTTAGATTCAATTTAAAGTCTTTTCTGAAAAACAATTCTGCTTCTCATGGAGGTTCTTTGATCCATGAGTTACATGTATGTGCTGCAATCAGTAACAGATACATGACTAAATGAAATCATCCTGCCTCACGTAATCTGTGACCTTTTTAGCTTCTGATTCCATAATTAGCTTTAGTTTTGTCTAATCAGCCTGCCTGCTGAGTTCTGATTTCAGTTGTTGTATTTCTAAAAGTGTTGCTTCCTTTGTCGGATCTTCCAGGCCATACTTTCACATTCTCTTGTCACTTTCAGAATATTAAACATCCTTTTAAAATAGATCATCTATCTGCTGATTTTAGCTATAAATCTTTTTCAGATCTAATTCTGCAGCTTACTGTTGCTGCTCGATCCTTTCATAAGATTTCTTGCTATGAATTCACAGGACTGAAAATTTACCTGTGTCGTTGTTTTGACAAGTGCCCCTTCTGTGCAGTGGAGCCCGTCAGACACTGCCAAGGCCCGCTGGGGTCCACTGAAGTTTTCAACTTGAAATTCAGAGGCTCCATAGAATTTGTGCACACCCTTGACCACTGACTTGTGTGTGAGAACTGTCCCGGGAGATTCACTCTCTTGACCTCCCCACTGGCAGGCAGGGCCCAGAGGTAAACACCCTCACTGTTCCCCTATAGGTGGCTTCCCCCATGATCCCTCGGGAGGACCTCTCTTCCTGGGGCCCAGACTGAAAAAGTCCTTTCTGGACCAGCTGCCCACTCCCTTAGGTTGCAGCAACAGCCCCTGGTCCCTCGGTTGAAGCGTGAAGGACCAAAGACACCTCCCAGGGCAATGCTACCCCAGAGCTCTGGTTACCTTGCTGCTTTCCCACTTTGTCTTTTCTGGCCCTGTTGGGCTCTAACTTCATTACATTCTGAATGAATATTTATCAAGCGCTTTTCAGTGATATATCTGGTAATTTTCTCTGGACCATTCGACATTTGTCAGAAATGGAAATCTAGAAGCCAGCTCTAAAAAAGGGTAAAGGATGACATGGACATTATATATATTTTAATTCAGATATTTTGTGCGTTAAGAAGAAAACTCCGTTTAATGAGTAGTGAAGGAAACAAAGAGCACTGTTTAGCTAAATCATGAACTAGAGAGAGGTTCCTCCTAGCAGTGCGATGGAACATACTTATAATCTCAGCACTCTGGGAGGCTGAGGCAGGAGGATCTCAAGCTCAAGCAAGCCCAGCCTAGGCAACTTAGGGGGAACCTGTCTCAAAATTAAAAACTGAAGAAAAAAGCCTGGGGATGTAGCTCAGTGTGAAAGCCCTGGCTTCATTCCCCAGTATCATAAAAAAGTTTAGTTTCCAGATTTATTATTTATGTATTTATTTGATTTAATTTAACAATATTTTTCCATGTCATTCTCAAAAGCATTCTTTTTGGATGATGAATATGGCTGCTCTTATTAGGAAAAAATGTCTTAGATTTATCTGTTTTGTATTTTCTTGCCATACAATGTAGAGGTAAAGACTCTCTTTGGGTCAAATTATTCTAAAAGTAGTCAGTCTGCCTTCGTCCATCAGAACTGGGAGCAGCTGCAGTTCATGGACTTCAGACTTCTAAGAAATGATGAAAGTTTCAGATGCGGTAAGTCACGGCTAGAGAAGGGAATTGTGATGGCTAGGAAGTAACAGAACTTACAAAATTACTTGTTCTCTTTTAATGTGTCATGAAGTATTTAAAATATATAAAGGTATAAATCTAGTGTAATAACCTCAAAAAACAAAGTTTACCAAAACTGATGAAACCCACTCAATGTCTCAAATTGGATCATGAGATTTCAATTCCTTTCTCAAAAATGTTTTACTTTATATGTGCGTTCCCATTAACAATGGTTTTTTGACCTTAATATCAATGGTATATCATTTGATATCAAGCTATAAGTGGAACCATTGTTAATGGAAACATATATATATTATGTATATAAGAGAAACACTATTAATATATACAGTACTAAGATTTGTCTTTAACAATTTAATTTTTATCTAATTATTATGGTCATGACAATTTGTGTTTATAGATGGTGGTCTTGTTCATTTATTTTCACTGCTAAATAAAAATCATGCACCGTTTACCTGATGAACATTCAGACTTTCTTCTGTTATGTACTACTACAAAATATGCCTTTATAAACATCCTTGTCCATGTCTCTGTGTGCCCACTGAATGTGTATTATGTATAATATATACAAGTTAGATTAATGAATTATAGAGTGTGATCACTTTTTTTTTTTTTGGTACCAGGGATCAAACTCAGGCCCTTGTGCTTGCAAAGCAGGCGGCGGAACCACTGAGCTAAATCCCTGGCCACGGGTGTGTTCGCTTTTAAATTTACTAACTTTGGCTAAGCTGTTCTCATAAGTGGTCCTACCCAGCTGCTCTCCCACAGGAAGCGTACATGCTCTTCCTGCCTAGCACTTGGTAGCCCCAGACTCTCTTACATTTGCCTGTGTGGCAGGCTGCAGGAGACCGTAATACTGACGACACCCAATGCAGGCTGTGAGGAGTGAACCCCACAATCGGCTTGTTTACAGAAGTGAGTTGGGCTGAAGCCAACGTCAGAGTAACTCACACCCAAATTCCATTAGAAGGACAACATTCTAATTACAACCCTATATTTTGTCTATTCTGTTCCTAATTTGAGAATGCTTTGTCTTGTCCTTTATGAGCCTTGTTTACATTAATTTCCACTGAAACTGCACATATGTTGCCTTTACCCCAATTGACTGCCAATAAAAGTCAGTGCCTGGGACTGGCTGGTGACTTTGTCGGTTGTGCTGGCCTGGTCGTCCTGGTGCCCTTCTTTATGCCTCTCTTAGTTCTGTCTTTTAGTTTAGTTTTGTTTTTTTTCCCCTCAGGCCTGCCTTGTATACTGGGCGGGAAGCTGGATCCTAGCTTCGGGGGTCCTAGTAACAGGTGGCTTTAATTTTCATTTTCCTGGAATGCAAATTAGAGGTGGGTGTGAGGTTTTCTTCCTTCTGAAATGTGTCTAGTCATATAGTTTGCCCTTTTAGATGGTTGGTTTTCTGCTGTAAAACAATTTATAATTTTTACTTGTATATTTCAAGAACAATTCTTTAGTCGGTTATGTGTCTTGTAAATATTTGTTCTGCTATACAAGGTATCTTTCCATACGCTCTGCTGTCTTTTGTGAACAGGTGTGACCAGTGATAATGCCTTTGTGTTTTCTACATGTTTATGACTTCTATATCTTGTTTAATGAACCTCTTCCTGCCCTGAGTGCATTAAGATATTTTCCAATATACTCTAGAGCTCTGAATGTATTCTCCCTATGTTGTGGGTTCCAATTCAGTTGGCACTGAGTTTTATGTATCATGCGAGGTAAGAATTTAATTTCATTTTCCCACATAACATCAGTTGTCCCAGCCCTTTACTAAGGCTTTTTCCAACATCTTTCATCTGTCCTTAAAGCAGGCTCTGTTTCTGCTTCTCCACTCTCCCCTGGCAGTCTGTTTGCCTCTGTTGTGGTTTGGATAAATGTCCCCAAAGACCCATGATTTAAAGGCTCAGTACCCAGTGAGGGGAGCCTTTAGGAGGTGGCATCTTATGGGCATCCTAGGTCCCTGGGAGTGTGTGTCCAAGGAGACTGTGGGACCATGGCCTCTCTTTCTCTTTTGCTTCTTAGTTTTTCTCTCACACGCTCCCCAACATTGCCATCTGCAACCCCACCGGAATCCCAAGGCAAGAAGCCACTCGGTGATGGTGG